CTTTTTTTCATTCTTTCTTTCTTTCTTTCTGAAAGTGTAATTCAAAGATGTCATCTTAGATAAACCAAAATAAATGTATATGTTTATACAGTATGTATTAGTGCTTGAGAAAACTGGCAAGTGCCTTCCAATTAGATATCAAATTTTTTTGAATTATTGCAAAGTGTTATAGGAATCTGATTGACATGATTTGTCGAGTAGAAAGAGGACCGTTTGAGGGATTCACCTCAATAAATGTTAGATAGAAGGATATGTCAGAGAGAGAGGGGCTAGCTGGCAGGGCTTGTCAAAGGGAATTTCTCTTGCCTCTCTAAGCCATTGCCTTTGTAGTGTCCCTCCTCTGGGAAGGTTACTAACTAATTGCAAAATATGGAGTGTCGTCTTGACAACCTAGCAGAGCTGATATTGTTGACACCTATTAAGACAAAAGGTTATGCAAATTAACCTCGTCTAGGCAGGCTGGGAGGTACAATGCAACCCTCACAGGTGGGCATATTTTCAGCAGTTTCAGATTTTATGAAAACGTGCTCCCTCTTGTGAAAATAGTAGGTAATGTTAAGAAAATATTGGCCTGAGTAGGGGTTACATAAGAGCCTGAGGGACTGTTAGGGGTCCAAGGTCAAGATGGAGTGTTGCGTTATTGCCCAGTACAGCCAGCAGGCACTGGGAGAGGATGGCCGGCAGGAGATGAGGGAGGCCCCCTACTGCCGGAGAGACTCTCACATTCTTTGCCAACTTTTTACCCATGCAGACACTAAGACTTTGGACCTTGGGGAGTTCTGTTGTTTTGGTATGGCTTCACAGGTGCTTAGTCACCAAGGAGTCAAAGACTAGGCCTACCTGCAATAATTTCTTTCCTTGGGTTGCAATACTTGCAATGGTGGTGTTATTTTTACTAATATAACTATTATTACCAACATAAATATTATTGACATGAAGGTGAGCAGGTGAAATCAGTAATTGACTCCTTAATGACAAAACACTTGTTGTCTCACATATATGCAATCAAAACTGATAAATAAAATTGCATTAGACCTGGCATGGCAGACCCTCCCAGCCTCAAAGGGTCAAGCATACCCATATGCTATCAAGATAAGATAGTATGTCACCCACCATTGCTAAACTAATATCTCAGCAGCACCCCCAACATGGATAATGACTTACTTAATTGGAGGTGGATCCAAGGATTTTCCTTGCTTATAGATATTTTTGTTCTTATGCTCTCTCCCCATTTTCTATATTTTAAAGACTAGCCTATTATCTCTAAAGTGGAATCAGGCTCTGCTCAGTTTTACCTTTTTTTTTTCTACTCCCTTTGATTCTTAACTTCATTTATAATTATTAGCTGAAAATTTGACTTGATATCTTCTCCCAGTTTGCAAGTAATCATTTATGATTGGGAAAGTACATTAGAGTTTTGTATAATGTATTCCTAAGTAAATGTAATCCTTCTCATGTAAATTTGTCTTTGTGTTACAAGTTAATCTTTTCATACTTTTCAGACACAGGCATGCGTGTTGGAAAGGCATATCAAGCAGAGATTCCAAGTATGTTGCCATCACAAGGTAGGTCTGGTTTGTTATGAAGTAAAATTGAATTTCTAAAGATATTTACGCTGTGTCTTATGAGTGCACGCTGGACAAACCATAGCAGCTGTTATCAAAAAAATGTCCAGCATTCACATTAGAACGGGGATCCGAAACTCAAGTTGTTGTTTTCTTCATTCCCAGAACGCCGGCCAGAGCAGTGTCCAGAAAGAGCCCTGTTAGTGTGGGCTCCTAAGCTGGAGATCAACGAAGAGAGTTGTGAGTTTCGCAGCGTTCATATAGAATTATGTCTCTTGCTTTGTTTGATTAAATTATTTTCCCGCCAGATACCTCTTGATTTTAGTGTAAGAGAGGGTTGAGGGTACGAGCCATTCAAAATACATTTTAGGAAGATATATTCTCGTTTAAATTTCCAGTGGAACAGTACATCTGGTTGGCAAAGGACAAATACGGGTACAATGCCGAGCAGGCACTGGGCATGCTGTTCTGGCATCGTCATGACTTGGAGAAAGCAACAGCAGATCTGGCCAACTTCACGCCCTTCCCTGATGAGTGGACGACCGAAGACAAGGTCCTCTTTGAGCAGGCCTTTCAATTTCACGGGAAAAGCTTTCATCGCATAAGACAGATGGTGAGGAACAGCATTAGTCAGTGGAGGAACTTCTCCGTTCCCTCCTTGAGAAATTGTTATGTTGTTTTATTCATTATCTTGAAGGAAAAGGAATATTGTTAACTGATATGTATAAAGCACATCCTTAAAAACTTTATCATATATTTTGTACCCAAAGGGAAAAGTATATATATTACTGTGCCTTTTTTTTGCTTTCCAGTTACCAGACAAGACTATAGCCCAGTTAGTAAAGTACTATTATTTGTGGAAGAAAACTAGACAACGAAGTTCTCTAATTGATCGACATGCTCGCAAACACACCGCAAAGCTCCAGGTCAGTGGAAAATGGAAACCTAGTGTTGTTCATAAACAAGAAATTATTTTCTTTGAGAAATTCCAACACAACATCCTGCTGAAATCCCAGGTTATGCAAGCTTTTTCCTTGTATAAAAGCAAAAATGTTTCCCTCCACAACCAGCAGGCTACAGAAGGTGGACTGGGAGATAGCAGCGGAGATAGATCTGATGAAGACGAAGAAGGACGCGGTGGGGAGGAGACCAAGAACTGCTCGAACTGCACCATCCCTGCGACCATCCTCAATGAGTCTCCCAAGGGGCCTCAGTGCCAGACGTGTTACAACCACTGGAAGTGAGTGTCTTGGATTGCCTTTCATAGCTGCACTTTTCAATATGTCTGTCAATTTTCACTGCATTAAATCTTTGAATTACATCATTTAGTTGTCACTGAATTTCGTGTCTTTTTCTGTTTAATGACTTGTGTCAGTTTTGTTGAATTACAATGAGTTTTTATCTTTTTCCATTGATTTACATGGTAGAAAAAATATATAACAAGCTAGATCTATTGAAAAGTAAGACAGCAGTTTCTCCCCATGTATCAACACATTGAAATGCTTTGGCTTTCATGGATTTTCTGCTTTGTTTTCATTGATATGCATCTTTTTCTTTCTTTCTTTCCTTCCCTTTATACACATATTTACATATGTTTTTGATGAATTACATCTCCTGATTTGGATCTGAGTTCTTTTATATTTGTCTCAAGTAATAAGTACTGTTACAGAAATTGATTCAGAGCTACATGGTTCATTTGTCTTCTCTTTGCCACTCATAATTTTTCTTCCCTTTCTGTGATATTCATCTTTTTGACGTGTGTCCCGTATGCTGATTATTTTGTCTTCTGCTTTCTAGAAAAATGGGATGTCTACGGCCAACTGTAGGACCCATGAAGAGAGATAAACAGCTTATCAAGCACAAGCGACGGCCACCTCGCGGCATGCACATAAACCATGAGGTGTGTGCTTCTTCTTCTTCTTAGAGATGAAATAGAAGAGAAAGGTTTAGATAAGTTTATTAGTTAGTCAGTTAATCCATTTATTGATTAACATATTCTTAGCAGCTTAAAGATAAATACCTAATTATTATTATTATTATTTTTTCCACATTTGACAGGATCTTATGGCTATGGTGGCCCCTGCCCCCCCAGGCCCTCTAGGTGCCCCTACCCAAGGCCAGCAGCTACTGCGACACATGGAAAATGAGGTCATTGCTCTCAAACGCCAGGTGAGTCTCTCTCTCTCTCTCTCTCTCTCTCTCTCTCTCTCTCTCTCTCTCTCTCTCTCTCTCTCTCTCTCGATATGAGATGTAGTTGTGTTAGTGTTGTGACTTGGAATGAAAGTTCATGTCTTATTAAGTTATTTTTGGTCTTTTTATGTCATTTTAGCTTTTGCAGATCAACTTCTTGGCATTTACTGATCTCTCTAAGGAAAAATATGGATCTGATTGAAATGAATTCATGAAACATTTTGGTTTCTGTTTCTTCAATAGGTACAGAGTAACAAGGCACAGATCAGCAACTTGCGGGAAAATCTGGCCAAGGACGGTATCAATTCCTTGAGGCCACCGGGACAAACAGGGCCGCTGAAGGCCAAATGGTCGCATGAGGAACTTCTGCTGGCTGTGCAAGGTAAGATTTTTCTTTCAATTTCTTCTCATTATTATTATTATTATTATTATTATTGTTATTGTTATTGTTATTGTATCATCATCATCATCATTTTTGTTTTCTTGTTCAGTAGATATGAAAACACCTGTAAGAAATGTGAGTGAGGTTTGAAATTTGTGTATTTTACAAACTTCTATCATAGATACACATGTACACTCATACTCACTCACTCCTTCACTCCCTCACTCATGTGCACACAATCTGTGGAACATATTTATGCATGTATGTACACACAACAGTTTCAGGAAATGCAATGAGCTCTTTTTTGTCTCTTGCAGCCGTGCGATATTTTGGAAAGGACTTCAAGGCCATCGCCGAAATTGTAGGCAACAAGACAGAGAATCATGTGCGGAGCTTTTTTGTGACTTACCGCAAGCGTTACAACTTGGACAATGTTCTGAGAGAGTGGGAAGAGGAGCACGGCCCAGTGCGAACCAGTGCAGACGAATAGTTAGGACTTTGCATTTGGAAGGCATTGGAACCGCCCACCCGTCCTCTCGGTGCCAGCTCCAGCATGGGGCTGCGGAGAGCTGGGTCAGAAAGCCCTCGTTTCAACCCATCGGGACATTGTGTGCATTTTTGGCCAGGATGTTCGTGTTTCAAAATGATTTTTGTAAGTTATCATACAGATTCCTCACAGTATTCTTGGAGTTGTCTACGGGTATTTCAGGGCCTAAGTAGGATTTTCATTTTATTGGCGGATGAAGAGCAAGCCTAAGAATCTTACCTTTAGGAGGAGGATGAACGGATAAGGCCTAGGATACCTGAGGAAAATCTAGAGTCATGTTACCTTCACAAGAATCTAGAAAAAAAAAAAAGAAAAATACAAAGTGACAAGTCCCTAGTTGCTAAGGTACTTCTGAGCAGTCATAATATTGTCTTATACAGTGTTTGCAAAATTGTTTGTAAAACATAATTTTTACAATGAATTACTCTTCATGCATATTGCCATGCAGAATATTTATGAGTGTTGAGGTTTATCTACATCTGTGTATATGTGTAGGTGCATGTATACAGTTGTATACATACACATTCATATATACTCATCACTGGATTGTTGATAACAGTATTGCATTATTTATTTCTAGGGGAATTCTTTAGGAACACACCAGGTTGAAGTCTAGGTTGATTAAATCTACTTAATCACATGCAGCCCTAGGATAACTCTTTTACTTCAGTCTGTCATAAGGTGATCGTAAAACGGTATTGCACATAGTTCCTTGTTGGACACATGAAAATGACTAGTGTACAAATTGTAGAGGTTAAGTAGGCCAAGTGTGAATTATCTTTGCCAATTTTTTCTTGATGTATATATCAGCAAGTAATAGTGAGGAGAAAGAAATGAAAATACATGGAGTCTTCTTTTTTTCTTTCCCTTTTTTTTTTTTTTTTTTTTTTTTTTTTTTCTTCTTTTTTTTTACATATTTATTTTGATATATTTATGTATTTTGCCATTTCTTTTAAACTGTATATTTTTTGTGTGTATGCATGTATGTGTCAGAAAGTCAGTGAGTAAAGGAAGCTTTCATATGTGTTGCCAAGTAATGAAGACATTTTCCAAATAGTGCCAGTCTCTTTTTCTTTCTTCTTGTTTGTCACTTATTTTACTGAACTTTAACGCCTACATGTGTGCCTGGCAGTCAACCGAAGATTACTGCAACACTTGCTCTGATAATAGGACTTACATTGCATTTGCTATTCTAGAATGACAGAAGGCAGTATTATGATGCTGATACTTTTCTTCTTTCCTCCTCTAGAAAAGGAGGATAACAAAAGATGTAGCTAGCAGGAGGGCAGTGGATGCTGAGTTTTATTTATGGTTGAGATTGTGTGGTTGTGTCTTTAGTGCTGTCACTGCTTGCTTCATTAAGATAAAGAAAAGAAGTTCATCCAGATTTACCTTGCCTAGTCATGGGTTATTTTTGTGTACAGGTACCATTAGCATGGCCGTGAAAGCCAGGGAGTAGCACTGTCGATTGCTTTGCAACAGGAATGCATGCTGATAAGTCCTGGACTCTCAGGAATATTTTATGCTGCCTTCTACTTGTATTTTAAGTGAGAAGAATAATTTTCAAGAATGCATTAATTTGAGGAAAAGACAAAAGGGTCTTGAGTAGTCATCCGAAGCAGTTTGTATTCTTTGTCTGTATGATATTGTATATATTTATTTGAAATTTTGTGCTGTGCACAAGAACTTAATTTCCTCTGATTTTGTTTTGTTGACATTCATCTTACAAGATACCAGGCAAAATCTGAAGCAAACTTTGCATTTTGTTAAAGATTTGTCATAGTTGGAATCTGTGATATGAAACATCATTGTACATTAGCAAAAGCCATCCTTACATTGTCAAAACAGATTTTAGTAGCATATTTAGTGCTTGTCATTCAAATTGAATACAATTAGAAAGAATAGCTGTCATGTCTAGAACATTTCATGAAGTGCTGAATGAAGGGATGCTTCTCCCTTATGCAGTTTGAAGTGTGCATTGTGCTGAATATTGTTTGCTTTGGACTGAATTTTACACAGTGAATTAATTTTTCATTCTTTTACTCTTTCTCTCTCTCTCTCTCTCTCTCTCTCTCTCTCTCTCTCTCTCTCTCTCTCTCTCTCTCTCTCTCGTCTCTCTCTCTCTCTCTGTCTCTCTCTCTCTCTCCCCCCTCTCTCCCCCCTCTCTCCCACCCCTCTCCTTCCTCCCCCTCCCTGCCTCCCTCTCCCCCACCCCCCTCTTCCCTCCCTCTTACCTGTTTCCGTCTTCTCCCTTCTTTATTTTGGGAGAAAGCTGAGGTTTCTTAAACATTTATGCATTGGTAGTCACAATTTTGTCCCTGGGATCATAGATGTTTTCACTCCATTTATGTGGAACTCAGGTTTTTTTCTTTCTTTATTTTTCAATTTTTTGTTGTGTTTTGAGATCATAAGTCAGAATGTTAGAGACAAAGACAGACAGACCGACAGGCAGACAGACAGAGACAGAGAAGCATTAGTAGTGGGAATACCTTTTATAGCTTATTTTTTTTTTGTTTTTTTCAGATAACTACATTGCCCAATGTTATCCCAATTATAAGGAAGTTGTAACTCTATGGCTTCTAAAAAAAAACATGAACCAATAAAATCCATGGCATTTTGACTAAACATTACCAACAGGCTAGAAGGGGCTGTGTAATAAAGAAGATTATTCTAAAACCTTTGAAGTATACTGTAGTCATCTTAGTTCATATGTAGCCAAAAGCAGTGCTCCTCTACCATAGCTAAAGAGAAGATTGGTTAATGTTCAACATTCATGACATAAGCCATCATTTGAATGTAATAGTTTCCTTGACTTTAAGTTTAATGTTACTTAATCTCTTTTAAAGTGCTAATCCTGTAGAATTATATATATATGATCTTTTATGTTTCCAATTTTTAAAATCATTATCATACAGAACTGGTCTGATTATACACTGAAGACACTGAGTGTGAGGAGCAGGGTAGTGATACTAATATTATGTATGAATCCTAACTTAGTTATGGCAGAGGGGCATATATGAATTAAGGTGGCTATAGCTCATTCATACTTATAAAGATATGGAAGAGATTATGGAAACTGAGCCGTCTGAGTTTACTCTGGGCATTTACATCACCACTGTCTAGGCAGAAATCCTTGTTACCGGAACTCACAAGTACAAGAAAACCAGCATTGTAGATAATACTTAGATGTAATCATAGTAACAGTCATTTATTCCTGTAATGAAAGCTTGCCTAGGTGTAAAATGTAAGCACATGGAAAACTGTCCCTTTGTCAAAAGGTATGTTATCTGAACTTAAGGATGGGTCGAATTGTGTCATGAAGCGATTAGTTTGTGAAAATGTGTTGGTCCCCTTTTTCAGGCTTCTGCATTTGGTTTTCCATTTTGTTTCATTTGTGTTAAAATCATGTAATTAAAGCAAGAATACAGACATTGATAAAATTATTTTGAAAGGAAAGCCAGCCCTCAGTTACAGTGTTTCATGTCTTAAAACAGGTTAGACATATATTTATTTTCTCAGGTGAAGTAGCTTAAGGTTATCAGTAGAACAGAGAAGAACTAAATGAATTGTTCATTTACTAGAGAGCATAATGAAGTTATATGACTATGCCCTTTTTTTATTTAATTTTATTTATTTATTATTATTATTTTTTATTGTAATTCTTATCTGTTTGTTATATTGAATGGGGATATTGAGGATAGAAGAGAGAACAGAAGTGCTTGTGTTTTCAAGTCAACTCTGCATTAACCTCATTGTAAATATACACGTGAGAGTATTTATTTTAGATTATAGTCTGCAATTTTGTTCAGAACAATGTCACCGGGATCTACATCAAATATGCCGCTAGATTTCCTGCTGATTTGGAGATCTGGATATTCAAAATTGCTGTGTTTCAGAGGATATAAGATACACAGACATGCACATGTTGATCAGGAAGATGTGACAATATGTATTTTATTTTCTTCAAGCCAGAAGTATTATGGAAAGCTCAGCATCTTTACTCAGCAAAGGACTTTTTACAAATTCCTTCCTGCTTAGACCCAGTTATAGTTTCTCCTCCTTTTTTTCACGTAATATATTTCAGAGAAAAGTTTTGATTAATGAGTATTTAAGCTTAAGAGACCAAGGCAGTCACTGAAACTAATGATGCACTGAAATTCACCATTTAACTAATCTTCAGCTTCTGATACTGAAATGCTGTCAAATGCTCATAAAAAGCAGATGGCTTTGCCGCACCTCGTAATAGCTCTTTACACTGCCCAAGTTATTTTTATAAGGGATAACAGTCTGCTTTCTTTTAGCAATTCTTAAGGAGAAAAAACAGAGCACATAGCAGATACTCTTTTTTTCAGAGTTTTTGTCCCCATCATTGCTTATTTTATTATTTTCTATTTTTTATTTATTATTTCTCTTTTTCTAAAAATTCATCAGAATTCATGTCCTGTTAAATTTACGGAAATGACAGGGAAATTAGGAACACATATTTGCCACCATTGAAGTTTAAAAGGGGGGTGGGGGTGGGGGTGGGTTCTGTCATTCAAAAATTACAAATAGGAAGCATAGGAAAAATTAAAGGTAATTTCTGACATGCAAGCAGCTGGTGATGGTTTATGTATCAGAATTACTATTAGCAAAAATACAATAGATATAAAGAGAAAAAAATACTATGTTCACTTTTCTATTTTTCTCTCGTTTGAACGATAGTGTCTCCTTCCAGATTAGTGTATAGCACATACTGTAGATACTGTATATTGTAAGCACAGGTTTTCATCTTAAATTCAATATCTTTTCCAGTTTTGAATATACAGTGATTTAAAGGACATAAGCTTTACATGAAGTCAAAGAAATCCAAAGTATGATTTAAGATTGCATACTATCCACAGTTCCTTTATAGTTCCATTATGTGTCTGAAGTGTAGTGCTAGCTTTGAAAAAAATTCATTTGTTAGAAATGGAATCATATGCTGAGTAATCTACGTCAGAGTCTTTGGATTTCTACTCTATTTTCATAAATATTTATCTGTGTCCATTGAGAAAGGTGTTATATCTCTTCCCTGTGCTGAGTAGTGAAAAAAGTAACTTATATACGTAACTGTTTGTGTTACCCTGTGTGTCCTTTGAAAGTAAGTCACGGTGTGTCTAACGATTGTACAGATTTGCAAAATAAATTATGCTTGAAAATACGATTGTGTTTTATGTTTTATCCTTTGTTTCTTTCAATGGATTAATGAGAAATATTTGTCTGTGCTTAAAGATGAAAGTGTTTTTCATGTTCTAGCTTTTTTTGTTTCCCAATGGTATCTCCTAGATTTTCCTC